TGTATCATTATGTATTCAATAAAGGGAAGTGAAAAATAAAAAGATGACCGGAAGGGCAAACTTTGGGATTTGGAAGAACATAAAATGAAACCGGACGACATTGCAGTTGCTGTTTAACACTACCATATTCAGGCGTTCACTGTAGGGATCGAACCCCAGACCACAACCCAGAGCACCTGAAAGACACGGCGATGGATCATCAGGTTTTACCGTGTTGTGTGTTTCTTCGTGCCAACTGGTAACTGAATTTCAATCAGCGTCAATGGGGGCCGTAGCAATGGCTGTAGCACACAGCAGCGTGAACTTACTGAATGACACGGGGACAAGGGAAACCGAATAAAAATTGATAAGGGTTTTCGTGTGTGTTACAGTCGCTTGCCACTTGAATCCTCCATCCGAGGGATGAAGTCAAGTTTACAGAAATTCTGCACAAAACGGCAGTATACCAGAGTATTGCACGACAATAAGTTTTATGTTTCAAAGGTGGAGGCAACTGACTGTCGGTGTGATGCACGCGGATATAGCTCGAAATTTAAACCATAATCTTGTGGCCACGCACACACACAAACCGATTAACCTTGTTCCTTATGTCACTTCGGGGACCTATACGTCGACCGAATGTAGCACAAGATAATCCTGAATACAATAAATTGATGCGATACCAGATCGACCGTTACTTTGATTTGGACTGACCATACCTCATACTTCATGCACAATCCTCAGTTCAAATTCCAGCCAGCCATACACTCAGGAAGCATTACATTCGAGTTCCTCTCTAATTAAAGCTTATCAGGAGCGCATATCCATTGCCCCTCCCGCCCGGACGTTGAAATCCAGACTCATCGTGTGGAACACGTGTATGCTATGCCGGTGTGTGCCAATCAGATCACACCGCGGATAATCAAAACCACTAACTATTGTTTACTGACTTGAATCAACGTTTAGACGACTGCTGTCAAAAGCCAAATAGGGTGTATTATATATCACAAACGACGGCCAGTCACCACTATTGGTCTTTATACACTGAGACCAACAATAATTGATCGTTGTCCACATCAAGGACAAGACCCTGAGGGATTGTGAAAAGAGGAACAGACACAGCTGATAGGGAACAGATTGCCCATGAATCGGACCCGAGCAGCCGAAAAAAAATGACACGCTGCGAGACCAATCACCAATTGCCCACCAACTGCTCTGATTAAACCGTCACCGGTTATCTGCTTAGGTTCAGTCATCCAGGGGATATTTTCCGAAACCCCTTGTGGAAATGATGAAATCACAAGATGTGACGTAATTGCCCCGAATTTTTCTTACCTCTCCCCATCAAGCAGGCATTCGCTTGCTCAATGTCAGCTCAAAAGCATCCGCATGGTTTGCACACACCAAAACACACACGTACCTGTACGTAGATAAAAAGGACTGCTGACGAGAATCTGTGTTGGACAAGACATATCTAGAATAGTATGCTAATGAAAAGGAACAATTTCACATACTGAGTGAATTATGATCGAGCATTGTATCGCATGATACCATGCGCTTCCGTGCCCATTAGCAACGTCCAAATTCGATATGAAGTATATAATGAACAACTTGGAGTTAGTTACATGAATGTTACGCTATCGATTAATAATAATAATAGTAACATTGCCACAATGATTGGGTACGCTGAACTCTTGTTGGTTTTGTTGAAAAAACGACAATATTCTGTGTAAAAAAACAGAAATTTTAGCAGCTTATTTGTAACGGAATGGGCAAAGAATGCGCAACTATCCAGTCACACTATTGCTTCTTTGAAATTAGTGACAAGCGTTGGTCGACACCGGTAACCCAATCACGTAACCGCTCCGTGAATCAATGCCTCAAGTCGACACGGTCGGCCTGATTTTTACCAAAATCATTTGAACACAACCGTGTCCGATATGCGGGTTAGTAGTGGTGGTGGTGATGTCTTCCCCATTGGCCGACGGGAAGACTATCGTTCCGGGCTGAAGATGTGTGGAAAGGAGTCGCGGGTGGGGGAAGCAGGCGGAAGTGAAACGGGGGTGGGAGTTGGGAGGTGAGGTTGAGGCCTATGATGGCAAGAAAACACGGAGTTTATAACCATTTGGCTCAGAAAACAATACGCCACTGATGAACTTGCGGTCGTGCACACATAAACACACACACACACCATCATCGCCATGCGCGTGGGAACGCCTGTGTGTGCGAGCGTGTGTCACATAGAGGGTGAGGATGCTAGGACAAAAACCGCCCGCATAAATTATCTGCCGGTCAGTTGTTCACCCTTTACTTCAGCAACCCAAAAACGGAGTAAGAAACAGTTTTTCTTGTCTCCACAGTCCGCGTGGAAAAGTAGAAGCTGAGGTACTGCTCTGGGATAAGCAGAGATTTCGACCCCTCCACCCCGGGGGGTTTGAACGAACCCAGCAACAAAACATAGAGTGCAGAGGACACCGGACTGGGGAACCCACAAACACGGATCACTTACGGTTGAGCCAACAAGCTTCACAAAGCATTCGACCGCTTTTGTGGCCATTGTGTTCGAACGGAATGCCATGGAGTCGTTGTCTGTGAACCAGGAAATGTGCAAAGGTGTGTTGAAAGCATCGGATGGATAGAATTAAGGTGAAAATTCTGGTGTTATAGAGACGGGCATATATCACTGAAAGTCAAAGTTACATGCACATACACAGTGGCATCTAGCGTAATCGAACAGTTCCTGTTGTCTGTTTCTCCCAATTACCATGACGTATACTAGCCGCACTCGTACAGCAGTATAACGAATGAGTTTGCTGTTCCGGATATTGATAACTGGACGCTAGATTTGTTTCTATCCTGCCGCGCTAGTGGCAATCCTATTTGACGAACGGGAATTTTATACCTTTTTATTAGGGAGGAGATCTCGCTGATCACAAAACTGTGATGTGAGTTCTGACTGATAACCGCCCTCACTAACATGTATTTGAACATTCTTACCAGAGAGGAAAGTGTAAAAAGCGTGCCTAAACTCGCATAAAGAGTGCAAGTGGGAGGATCATTTGACGGAAAGGTACTGGACACGTGTACCGGATGAATGAAAAGAAGCGCAAAATAAACTAGCTTTCACAGGGAATTTTCTTCCCAGCAGTTCATATATTGCTTATTATTGTTTGAATTCTCTAAGCCCTTCTCCCCCCCCCCTCTAATCCTTGGGGTATGCTGGTTCGCACGAGTAAACAGAAACGCGTACACAACACACGAATGGGTCGAATGACTTTTCAGGTTTGTTTTCTGTCGCATCCAAAGGGAGAACGGGATGCGAGTGGGTGAGTTAGGCACAGGGAAC